CCCCCCTTTTGATGTGTAAGATAGCATTATACATATCTATTCAGAGATAGACAAACCATTTGTCTGGAAATCTATTCATTAACAGGACTATACATAAGACACAAGGTCATGCATTTAAACTGGAAGAAATTAGCTTTAGTCTAAGGCAAATTAAAGTTTTTTTTTGTTTTTTTTTACAGTAAGAACAATAAGGATGTGGAATTCTCTGCCTGAAGAAGTGATTTTATCAGAGTCTGTACAGATGCAATGGGGATTTTCCATAATCATCCTATTGTGCTATACACTTGAGTCACGTGGCTTAACAGACTATAAGTTTGTGAGTGTGATTATATCCTATTTATTGTACTTACTATAAACCATTACATCCCGTACCAGAGAAGCATAATTCACATTGCTCCACCTATTGTGTGTGTGTTTTTTTTACTGTATTATTTAGCCTCCATAAACAGCCCACATTCATAGGTATCAAACAAAAGGCAATAAACTACTCATGATGAACATTTACAATACAACAGCCCACATACACAAAATTGCGTAACAAAACAACTGCATCACTCATAAATAACACAAGCACCCTACAGCAACATACACCTCAATTTAAACAAAAAATAGGACGCAAAGATCTGGTTTTGGCACAGTACTACTAACAGGCTGCCTACCCCTGTTATTGATGATTAGTGATGTCGCGAACCCGAAATTTTCGGTTCGCGAACGGTGAACGCGAACTTCCGCAAATGTTCGCGAACCGGCGAACCGCCTGAAACGCCATTGACTTCAATGGGGAGGCGAATTTTAAAACACACAGGGACTCTTTCTGGCCACAATAGGGATGGAAAAGTTGTTTCAAGGGGACTAACACCTGGACTGTGGCATGCCGGAGGGGGATCCATGGCAAAACTCCCATGGAAAATTACACAGTTGATACAGAGTCTGGTTTAATCCATAAAGGGCAGAAATCACCTAACATTCCTAAATCACAATCAATATGGATTGACACCTGACATATGACATATTGACACCTTGACATATGGATTGACACCTGTCCTCAGAGCCCCTGATGCACACGGACAGAGCAGAATAGAGACTGGTCCACCTACATAGGGTCACTTGGCAGATATAGATTGACACCTGTCCTAAGGATCCCTGATACACACTGACACAGAGCAGAATAGGGACTGTTCCCCCTACATCGGGTCACTTGGCAGATATGGATTGACACCTGTCCTAAGGTTCCCTGATACACACTGACACAGAGCAGATTAGGGACTGGTCCCCCTACATCGGGTCACTTGGCAGATATGGATTGACACCTTGTTACAAACTGCTATTTGTAACGGGCCCTTTAAATGGCAAATTGCCCTGCTTCCCTGGGTTGTGAGAAGCCTACTTGCCAGCCTCCTCCCGCATGACTATGGCCCCTGGGAGATTGTGAAAATGTATGCACTTTTATTTGGTGTGTATGGCCCTTTAAGACTGTCGGTGGGCATATTGGGGCTTATGGACTCTTTATGTGACTGGTGCTGGCCCTTTTAAACACCTTTTTTGGGACATCAGGAAGATTGGGACACTGCCCCTTTAAGGCCGTGTCCCCAGACTTGTTGGGGACACGGCCCCTTTAAGAC